CACCCGCATCGGTATGTGGGTGTACACGATCTTTCTATCAATGGTGATATCGAGAATGTACATACCTTATAAAATATCTAATTGAGGGAGTTTTATTAATCTTATTATCAATAATATACACATTTTATAAACATAATTTTTTAAACTCAAAATTTCTATACGTGACGGATAATAATCTATGTAAGTTTAATGTTTTTCTTTCTTTATAGCATTGTGTTTGTTTCTCTTTCTAGAAGTAATGGTTTTCGAAATGAAAATAAATAAGTAGAAAGATTGATTCTCAGTATTTATAAACGTGAAATATTTTTAAGATGTAATGATTATTTTTTATCTTTTTAATTTTAAAAAAAGTTATTTTAGGTTTTAATTTTTTATTTGTTAAACATCAAAATTTTCAAACTAAATTAACTTATAAAAATTAATATTTTTATATTTTATATTTTATAATTTATAATTTTTATTGGAAAAGATAAAATAATTTATGTTAACATTGACAAGAAGTTAAAAAAGTTGACGTGAGTTGAACAGATCTATTATTTTTTGTCCATTTATTTGTTCGACATAAAATTAAAAGTTCAAAGATATTTTTTTAAAAATTAATAATAAACTATTAAAAATTGAAATATAAAAACATCATTAGACTATTTTAAAATAATGTTATTAGATTTTAAAATTTTACACAAACTGTTTTAAATATTATTTTGATTTCTATAAAAATAATTCTTCTCATCAATAACACTAATTACATTTGTATTTTTGTAAATATCTAACATCAGAAATAATGATTACATTTTGGTTTATATGTCCCCTTCATAATAATAATACCAATTATGGCGATAATTATAAGATTAAGAAATGAGAACAAATAAATGGTAAGACAGTGGAGTTTGGAGTCTTGAAAAGCTTTCACCACATCGTAACATCAATTAATAACCTGCACCAAGAAAATCAGCAACAACACCACCAATGCCCTTCCTAATGTTTAGACCAAGATAAAACCGTCAAAGGGTGAACAAAAACCTCAAACATCAGTAATGGAAGCATCATAGTATTAAAATACGACTGCAACACATTATAATGTAACGTTTTTTAAGATCAATGCAAAATCAACAAGAGTGCAACAGAATACAAGACATAATTCTCACAGAGAAACTTCATCACCCCATCAATAGCATATATTGCCCTTCCAATCTTACTAGTTGCTGCTCATCACCTTGAACTTGAATTCCTAGCCTCTTGTCGAGCTCTCTCATACCTTGTTCGTTTTCTGTACCATAATTTTACCCGCTTATGTCAGAATTCAAGAGGGATACATTCACTAAATCTCCTTCCTATCGTATCTCTTTTCTCTTTTTGCTTTGTCTTGTATATCAAACATGGAATCATACTTGTTCCACAATTTTTTTGGTTTACTGAGGAGTAAAACCCTAGGTTCTTCCACCTTGTAAACCAAAACTTGATCTTGTATATTACGTCCAAGCATGGAGGGGACTGCACGATAAACGTTGTTTGCCTAGTTCACTTGCTGTATAACACCCCTACCATCTTTAGTAGAAAATGGGATTAAAAAATATTATATTGATTGATCGAAACACACCAAATTAAAACGAAATTAAATCATACAATCAAAGTTTCAAAAATTATTATATGTTTATTTAGAGACTAAATTGCTAAACACATTAATTATGAGGGTTTCCTTTCATAATTTGTGTAGAGTCTCAAAATACACCCTCTAAGTATCGAAATTATTGAATAATCGGGTAAAGAAAACGGAAAGAACACAAGAATTTTAACGAGGTTCAGCAATGTGCTTACGTCCTCGTGCAGGCAGCGCTAGAATTTTTATTCAATGTCAATTATCTCATAGGTTTAGGTTACATATCCTTTTATAATAAATAAACTCTGGTACATATTTACAAAAATAACCCTGTATCGTACCGCGGGGCTGCTGTAACATCCCAAAAGTCGAGTCAATGACCAAAATGGATTTTTTGGTAATTTAGTGACCAATCTCAGAAAGATTGAAAGTTTAGGGATTTTAATGAAAAGTGTTGGTGTTGGATTTAATAACAAAGTTTGGAAGTAATAAGGGTATTATGGTAATTTCTCAGGAAAGATTTTATTTCCCTTTATAAAGGGTAATAAACACGTGGGAAATGAGAGAATTCTCCAGAGCTTTCTTTCTTTCTTCTTCTTCTCCAGCCTTGAGCTTCAAGAGAAAAGGTGAGTTTTCTGAATTCTTGATTATTTGTGGAATTAAAGGTTGAGTTTTGATCATTAGATAATAACTAAGCTTAAGGAAGCTTAAATTATCTTAAAAATCAAAACATAAAGGAGTTACGAAAGATTAAAGAAAATGAGTTTCAAAGTGAATTTTTGAAAAAGAGTTAATAAATGAACGTAGAGATGAAATTTGACTTGTCATAGGTGTGAATAAGAAGTTATAAGTGTTAAATCAAAGTTTGGATAACATGGAAAATTGGGAATGATTCTTAATTTTAAGAATCATGAAGAGATATGAAAGATAAAGATAGCTTATATGGGTATAAGTTGGTTTATAAAGTGGTAGTTGAGTTTAATGACATGATAAGGGTTTAAAATAAAAGAATTGAGTGTAGAGTTGATGATTTTCGGGCTTGAATATAATTTTTGGGCATGATTCATCGGTACACATTCAATATGTATCGATGCACTCTTAAAAGAAGAAACATCGAATGCCCGGAATGCATCGATGCAGTTTGAGTGTACATCGATGCACCAAGACAAAATTTGAAGGTGCATCGATGCATTAAGGGGTGCATCGATGCATGAGAATTCGAAGTTATTTTGTGTATCGATGCACATATAGTGCATCGATACACCCCTAAGGAAAAATGTAAATATGGGTTTATTAAGTTCGTTTAAGTTGCTAGTATCAAATTACAAGGTTTAGGTATCTAATAATTATCTTAAAATGTATAATTATGTAGATTCAGAGCCTAATCAAGTTCCGTAATCATTGACAAGAAAAATCGATCAAGGGGAAAGATAAGAGATTGGAATTGACTAGTGAGGCCAGGTGAGTGCATACAAGTTAGTTTATGATGTTTAATGGAAAGAAGACTTGCGACAAGTCTATTTCCTATATTAAAAGGCATGAATGTATGATCATATGCATATGTTTGATTTGAGTATATGTGATATATATTATAGTATGTATTAAATGATTTATGTGAATGCATGTAGTGTGATAAGTTATAGGAATTAAAAGAAATGATCTATATGATTTCATAGGAATGTGAAATAGGTTATATGATAGGTGACCATAAATTTTACATAGTAAATGTGATCAATTATAAGAATCAATATAATAGATTTATATTCAATATAATAGATTTATATGACTACATGAGAAGGGTGATAAGTTAAATAAGATTAGACTATAGAGTAATATGAGAATAATATATTAGTGAAGGGAATTGAGTATAAATGATGATGCCAAACTATAATATAAGTGTTATAGAGAAGAAATATACTTAAAGAGAATTATGGTATATGAGTTATGTAAAATTTAACTAAATAAATAGATTAAACGGGTATAAATGGAAAATGAGATAAGTTAGGTAGCATTTATAGGGATGGCAAAAGAACCCGAACCCGATGGGGAAACTCGAAAACTGAATTAAATCGGGTCGGGTTCAGGGATGATAAACGGGGACGGGGATGGGGAAAAACTGAGTTTTTTAAATGGGGACGGGGACGAGGACGGGTTTGGTAATCCCCATCCCGATTACCCGAATACCCGGCCCGATACCCGGGTATTCATACTTAATTTGTTTCAGACTCAAATAGCCCAATAAACTGAAGCCTACTTGGAATTGGACGGTCACAAACAATATTTTTGAACTCAGCACCATCACCCTTTTCTTCGTCTTTCACATTTTCTCGAGATCTCTTTAGGGTTTTACTCTACCGCAACTTTTGTTTATGGTGCGTTTTCTACTCTCAGATTTTCTTATTTATTATTGTTTTGATACTATTATTGTTATAATTCATGCATTATTGGTGGATGTTAAATAATGTTCATACTTTTAATCAACTTTTTAATTAATGGTTGTTAGCTATTTTTTTATAGGATAATTCAATTCTTTTTTGTTTTGTTTTCTTGTCTTGTTTTTAAGACGGATTTGAGATTGTGGTCTGCCTTTTTTCCCCTTATTTTGTGTATCCAATTGATTCATGGGTATCTCAGCTTATCTTAAGTCATATACGGCTATACCGGATTTTAGATAATCTATGTTTGTCATTAATTTCTGGGTATTTTCAGATCTTTAATTTATATAATTTCTTCTTTGGGTCAAAATGTTGTATATTTTACGAATTTAGATTTGTTACTAAATGTGAAAGTAGTGTTTTTAGAATCGAGGTGATTTTACAGCAAGTGCAAGTAATTTAACCTTTTAGCTCAGTTACTTTGTGATTTATGGGTTGGGGTTGTTGGTAATTTTGTTTTGATGGGTTCCATAGTTTTCGCAATGAAATTTCAGATGTTAATATTTGGTAATTTGTCATATTAGGTTAGGTATTAGTTATGTGGGATATAGTGTATTAACTTTGCTTACTAATTTAGCATCTTAATGTCCCCATTTCTTCATAAACAGAATATGATTTTGCCTTGTTCATAGGGTTACTACCTTTTCTGCTTTTTCTTTTTGCACCATTTTCTGCTAAATGTTGTCTTTATATGGGAGTTTTCAAAATGTATATGGAGTGCGTATGGTTATTAATTGATGGTGTATTTTATTTACATTATACTCCTAAATCTTGGTTTTATGGGTCTACAACCTTCTTAGAATCAAGGTGATTTTACAGCAAGTGCAAGTCCATTTTTGTATGATAGTTGAGAACATTAATTATCTAATTATTACTACTTCAAACCATAGAAATCATCTGCTAATTGCTAATACCATTTCTGGTCATTAATAGTTACTTTTCTTAATGAAGGTTGTTTTATAGTAATAATGGAAGGTCAACGTTCCATAGATGATAATTCTAATGCATGGGCACAAGAACAATCACAAGTTGAAAGCAATAACATGACTCAATCATCTCCGATGCGAAATAACCAAGGCCCATCAATTTCACCCATAGAAGAAGAACAAACACAAATCGATGGTAGCAATGTTGGTACAAATAGTAGAAAGCGAAAACTTACTTCAGTTGTATGGAATCACTTTGAGAAGGTGAATGTTAACGGTGAGGATAAGGCAGAGTGTCGTTATTACAAGAAAAAAATTAGGAGCAAATAGTAAGAATGGGACACGACACTTGCATGATCATTTCAAGAGTTGTCCAAGGCAAACTTATAGAGATATACGTCAACAAGTGATTGGGATGAGGAAAAAAACAACGGATGGACAAAAAAATCTATCATGCTTAAATCTTGACCCCGAAAAATCAAGAAAAGATCTTGTAGAGATGGTAATAGTGCATGAATATCCACTTGTAATGGTGGAACATCATGGGTTTCAAAAGTTTGTGATTGGTCTTCAACCTTTATTTAAGGTTCCATCTAGGAATACCTTAAAAAATGATATTCTCAAGATTTATGACTTCGTGAAAGAAAAAGCAATACGGTATGTTTATTTCTTTAATCGGTTTCTAATTTGTATCTTGTATTTATTTGGTTTCTAATTTGTATGTTGTAATTATTTCAGTCTATTGGAGAAGAATCGAAGCAAGATTGCCATTACGACAGATATGTGGACATCAAGTAATAAAAAAAATGTTTCATGTCAATCATATCACATTTGATCGATGATAACTGGGAGATGCAAAGCCGAATAATGAGGTACTTTAAACTTACCTTTGCTAGCTAGGTACTAAATATAATAACTAAATTGATTCTAATTACTTATTTACTAGGTTTATATACGTGCCTTGTCCTCATACTGCTGAAGTTCTTGCTGATGTGTTGTATGAATCTCTATGTGATTGGAACATTGATAGAAAAATATCAACAATTACAGTTGATAATTGTAGCACAAATGATCTGATGATTCATTTATTATTAGACAAGTTGTCTCTGAACTCGTTGATTTTAGGAGGAGAGTTATTTCATATGAGATGTTGTGCACACATCTTGAACTTGATAGTTCAAGATGGTTTATCTGTTATTGGGGATGGAATTGATAGAATTAGGGATAATGTTTATTTTTGGAGCGCAACAAAAAAAAGAATAGAAAAGTTTGAAGAAGCAGCTCGTCACTTGACAATTTATTGCTCAAAAAAATTGTCTCTTGATTGTAAAACACGTTGGAACTCGACATATTTGATGTTGAGTGTTGCTATAGTGTACAAGGATGTTTTCAAATGTTTAAAGCAACGAGAAACACAATATATAAGTTTACCTACAGATAGAGATTGGGAGTTAGCTTCAAGTATTTGTGGAAAATTGCATTTGTTTTATAAGGTGACTTTGATGTTTTCGGGTACCAAGTATCCTACGGCTAATGTATTTTTTCCATCCATATGTGAGATAAGAATTGCATTAAGTAAGTGGAGTGAAGATCGAGATGAAGTGATAAAAGAAATAGGGGAGAGGATGCTTGTTAAGTTTGATAAATATTGGTCAGTTATACATGGAGTTATGGGAGTTGCAGTTGTATTAGATCCAAGATACAAGTTCAAAATGATGGAGTATGCTTTCCCGAAGATTTATGGTTTTGAAAAGTCTGATGTTGAAATTGTAAAACTAAAGGAGCTTGTGTCTCGTTTGTTTCAAGATTATGAAACTTGTAATTATGAAAGTTCACGGAATCGAGATGTTGATTCAAGTCGCAACACTAGTGACATGGAGGTTCAGATGGAGGGGGGTTTTCAACGACTATTTTACATTCATTGAAGAGGATAATCATACAGGTATCACTATATGAGTTCGTTTTATTTATCTTTTGATTGTTTTATTTATGTTTTAAATGTATAAAATTATTATTGTAGGTATCACGTCGGAGCTTGATCATTATCTTCAAGATAAAGTAAGGACACAAAATTCAGAGCTTGATATTTTGTCTTGGTGGAAAACAAATGGTTTCAAGTATCCAACATTACAAAAAATTGCCCGATACATATTAGCAATTCCAATATCCACTGTTGCATCTAAGTCTGCCTTTAGTACAAGTGGTAGATTGGTGAGTCCTCATCGGAGTCGTCTTCATCCAAAGACGTTGGAAGCGCTAATGTGTGCCCAAAGTTGGTTAATAAACGAAATAAGAGGTAATCAATCATTTATTTTACTTATAAGTTTATTTTTTCAATTGTATTGTTGATATGATATGTTATATAAATTAATAAATACAACAACTTGTTCACAAAAGTCTGAAGCATATTGTAAAAGCATCGAATATGATCGTGATGATGGTGACGAGGTACTAAATTGATATACAAGTTATACGTGATATCAATAACTTTTTTTATATAAATTTTGGTGGCTTATATTTTTTTTGTGTAATTATAGCAATTGGGGGTCACAACTGTTTGATGACGGTGGTGGTGTCAAGCCCTTCATTGAGTGGCTCTAGAATGCCGAGTCTGAGTCGGAGGAGGGGTGATTCACATTTATCATGCTTTATTGCTAATTTTATTTCAATCATTTGGGGTCACAACAGCGAGGTGCTTTATGTTATTTCAGTCTGATTTTCTTCATCTTAATTAAGACTACATTTCCCAACCATCATTCCATGGGTATTTTACTACTCACCCAATTTTGGTTCGTGTTTAGATTCTGTTTAACTTATTTTAAATTTACTCAAATATTAAATTATTTTAATTTGATAAAATTTTGAAGTATTGAAATTATTTTGAGTTATAACTAAATTAATAGAATGTATAAGTTTTAATATAGAATGTATAAGTTTCGTGTTTCCCCGTGGTGAAAAATAATTATCTAAGGTAAACGGTTATTTAAACGGGTAATTTTCACCGCGGTTATCCCCGCGGTGAAAATTACCCGTTTAAATAATCGTTTATGCTAAATGGGGATACCCGTTTCCCCGCAGTTTTTCTCGATTACCCGATGGGGATCCCTATTTAAATCCCCGTAGTTTTTTAACCGGGGACGGGTACGGGTTTTTTAAACGGGGACGGGGATGGGGGGACCAATACCCGGCCCGTTGCAATCCCTAAGCATTTACCTATGAGATAAAATAAGATTATATGAATAAGTAGCATAAATGACATAAGGAAAACTTATGTGTTATATGATTTAAGCATTGAAATGAACAAAAGATATATTCAATTGAAGTTATTCGGTGATATGAGTATATGACATTACTATAAGGTTTAGATGAAATATTATACATGAATAAATGTGTTTGTGGGATAAATGATAGAAATTATATGAGAACATGTATATGTGAATTAGCTTGATAATTAGGTAAATATATGAAATCATAACTATGAACTATGCGATGTAAAAATAATCTATGTGATTATATGTTATATGAATACAAGAACATGAGATATGTGACAGGTGAATTATATGGAAATGATCTACGTGTAAGTGAACTACGTGACTATGTGATTTTATGAAAAATGTGATAATGAGCTATGTGCAAAAACTATGAGACTACGTGCCTAGGAAATATGAATATGTGAACATGTGAAATGACATAAATGATAATGCCCATGTTATGTGTCATGAGAGCTAGGGGTATAGTTGGCATGCCAAGAGTCGAGGGTCTACGCGGTCTTTCGAGACATATATGTGTCCTTTGGAACATCTATGAGGTCTTTTGAGACACATACTTGGTCCTTGGAATATGTATATGGATCTAAAGGAATTTTCTACGTGGTCCTTAGGGACATCTTATATGGCACTTCAGTGCATTTCTACGAGGCACTTAGGTGCATTTCTACGCGGTACTTAGGTGCAATTCTACGTGGCACTTCGGTGCATTTATACGAGTTGTGGTGGCAGCATTAGTGCACAACCTCTATAGACTCACATATCTATAGTTCTCACATGTGTACATGGGCTAATAAAGAAGATGATATAAAAGAACCTTGTATGATATTATGCGCTTTGTTTGTAATATTTATGATGAGAAATGATATATGTGATATGATGTTGATGTGTATATAGCTTGGTTAAGAAGAATAGGTACAAAAACATCTGTCTAAAAGATAAAGAACGAAAATAAGACTATTAAAGAGATAATGATAAATGTATTACATACGCTTTATATGCTTTGTGTTAGGAAATATATTATCATAATTACATGATGATATGTGTGTGTTTCTTGTGAAACAATATGTATATATATGCGTTTATGTTTGGAAGCATTTTATAGTTTATCATGATTACATGAAATGTGTATAATAGGAATTAGTTATGATATACTATAATTAGTTTATTTATGCCTCACTAAGTCATCGACTTAGTGTGTGAATGTTTCACACGTATGTTATGGAAAGCTAGAAGAAAAGTTAAGAGAAGCAAGACAGGTCAGATCAGAAAATAGAGGATTTAAATGACTTTGGTTATTTTTGAATATAGTTGGCATGTACTAATTAGTTGAGTTAAATATGCTCTGATTGATTTTGGTTATTGTGGTCAATTTATGTAACTAAACCGCTTTTACTTTAATGAAAATTTTAAATTTTCTTTGAATTTTGTCAAGAGTCAAAGTTTGAAAAGTCAATGTGATACCTCAGACTCGTATCCGGGTCGGGTACGGGTTGGGGGTGTTACAGCTGTGCCCCCGTACCCCTAACCCACATAATCGTAACCCACTACCAGGCTTTCTTTGTTTATCGGTATATTTATGAGCCATACCTAACAAATCTCCACCTTGGCGAATATCCTCCCCTTAGGAAACATTCAATGTGGGTTGGGTTACCTTACTTCTTTAACAACTCGAACAATTCAACAAGTCCAAGCAATGCATGAACTTGTCTGTTGTAACTGGCTTGGTGAACATATCAGCGACATTCTCATCAGTATGTACCTTCTGAAACAAAATCTCTCCAGATGCAACCAACTCTCTGATCTTGTGAAACCTTATATCAATATGCTTAGTTCTAGCACGATATACCTAATTCTTAGCCAAGTGAATAGTATTTTGATTGTCACAAAGCAACTGAACTCCACCTTGCTGAACACCCAATTCCTTCACTAAACCAGTAAGTCATAAAGTTTCTTTTGCAACTTCAGCCGCTGCCATGTATTCAGCTTCAATTGTAGATAATGTCACAAGAGATTGAACAGTAGACTTCCAACAAATAGGCCCTCACTATAGCAAAATGGGCTTTTAGCGGCGTTTTTTGAACAAACATCGGTAAATACTGGTATTTTAGTGGCACTAATTACTATACTTTAACGGTATTTTTGTACAAACGCCACTAAAAACTCATACTTTAGCGGTGTTTTAAGCACAATCGCCACTAAAGTCCCGTACATTAGCAGCGTTTTAAGTACAAACGTCGCTAAAGTACTTGTATTTAACGATATTTTTATACAAACGTCGGTAAAGACACGTACTTTAGTGGCATTTTTATACAAACGCCGCTAAAAAGTTATACTTTAGTGGCATTTTAAGTACAAACGCCGCTAAATGCTTGTACTTTAGTAGCGTTTTAAGCACAAACGCCGCTAAATAAATGTACTTTAGTGGCGTTTGTATATAAACACCGCTAAATATTTAGTCTTTATTATGCTTGTGCCTATCCAACTGTTCCTATTTTATCCTCCTCCCTCAATGAAATTATCACATTCGCCATAAAAAACTCCCCCCAAATCTCACACCTTGTCATTGTCAAAACCTACCCATTTCTCTTTAGTCTTTACTCTTACCTGTTGTGCCTTTTGCCTCTCTCTCTCTCTCGACAATGGCCACTGCCGCTACTTCTTCTCCTCGTGCCATTTTTATTTTGAATTTTTATTTTCAGATGTCAAACCGAAGACTCCATCGCAGGTGTAGTTCCCAATTTTGTCTTTCCTAAATGGTAATGTCTGCCTATTTGCAAATCAAATGTCGCTCTGTTCACTCCATTTTTTGTTTCTTTCTTAAATCTTGAATTTGATTACAAATAAGAAATAAGAAAAAATGGTAGTCATTTCGTCATTCTTCACCTTCATTCAATTTTCTTTTGATTTTTTTATTCTTAATTCGACTTTTCTTATCTGACTTCGCTCCTTTGTTCTTAGTTCATTTCTGGGTATTTCAGGTTTTTCTTTGTTCACTTATGGTTTCATCTTCAGTTTTGATTTACTTCGCAATCTAGTTTTGTGTGTTGCTTTTGGGTAAGTTTGCTTTCAACCTAATGTGCTAGTCATTTTTCCTATTTGTGTGTCTTATTTGTTTTAGTTTAACTGCTTGGTTTATTGACTTCACTTCTAATGTACATAATTTCTGTTATGAACAATTTTAATTCGAATTCAGAACTGAACTTCTTTCCTATTAGACGCTCAGAGATGGCATTCAACATTGGTTGAGGTCCAACTGTGGAAACCTAGGGTAAGTAATTTATGCTAATAAGTTTACTTTTTTTAATTATTTATTTTACTTTTATAGCCAAGATCTCTTATTACATATTCATGTCTAGGGATAAATCCCCACTTGATCAACTTTATTCACTGTGCAGCAAGGTATGGCGATATAGAGAGTTGAGACAGGAAACTAGTATGCCTTCGCTAATAGTTCTTCTGGTTCTTAAAGAAATACATTTCACATTGTTGCAGTCTCATGAGCACAATTATTCTATGCCATCTTTTACATGTTTTTTTTATTTAATAGAATTTTACCCCTTGGATAGCATTACAGACTAATCTTCCCTTAAAAGCCTTTGGTGATTATTTAGTACATAATGCATAAATACATCTATTTATGCAGAGTTGTATGTACATATGCACAACAGAAGGGATACACACACACTACTATGCAGTACCTTATAAATAGAAAAGTAGTTTTTAGTTTATTTACTTTGAAGGATAATGTGATAGTTTATATGGTGCAAGTTGATAACATTGATTTCATCTCTCTTTCTGATTCTATTGTCCACTCAAGATTATTGGAATAGGGAAAATATGTCTTTTTTCCGATTGTTGTTGCTCACTTTATTTGCTGACTTAACTTACATGAACCTCAGTCAAACTTGGAAATAAAGTACCTAGTAATCCTAGTGTGTAATTTTGGACATTCTGAAGTTTCTTCATCTCTGTTTTCGCTTGAGTTCTATTAACTTAAATGATTTGTTGAAAGCATCATATTATATGTTATTTTTTCCTTCGTTTTTCATTTTATGTAGAATGCGTAAAAATCAAATTTTAGAGTGAGAATCGTATTCATTTTTGTCATTATATAGCTTATATCCACACACTTTTGGTTGCCGTCTTGCAGCTACTATAAATGTAACAGAAGAAGCTGAAGAGACTAAAATGGCTGGTTTGACTAGCCAACTTATTCCAAATGCATCTGGGTGAGTTCATATCTGTTCTTTTAAAACATTAATGGAAGCTATATATGTTATGTCAAGTCATTATTGGTATCTTTTTCCACCTTTAAATTATAAAAATGTTTTGACCAATAGATTTTGAAGTTACTGCACAGTAGTTGTTTAAAGCAGCCATGAGGAAATTATATATGGAAATTAGAAAAAGAATGTAAATGATTTTTCTTCTTTTTGATCTACTCGTAATTTACAAATTTGGAATAAATATGTTAATATTTCATGTTTTGGGATTTCTTTAATAAATGAATGAAAGAATTTATACTTCGAGTTATATTTGAAAAGTTTGTTGTTTATAATCTCTAACTGCAGGTGGAATCTCTAATCAGAGATGTATGCGATACAACTTCCATTGCAGAGCTTGAACTGAAAGTAGGTGGATTTGATTATTGTGCCATAAATATCTTGATTAATGTGAATGAATTTTCTACTTGAATTGTTTTGTTTTGAATTGAAGCAATTGCAGATGTTGAAATTTATTCTTACTCTTTTGGCTGCCTCCGTTTTAGCTTGATGGATTTCGGCAATACATTGTGAGGGACTTAGCTGGAAAATTCTAAGGGAGGACGACGGTATGTCTTTGCCATCTTTTCAATATACATTTCAACTTGCGGTATTTTACGGTGTCCCATGGTCAGTTATTCTAACTTTCTTTGCTTAATACGACAGATTCCGTTGGATACGGCGATGCTCTCATCGCACTTCTACCTTCTTTTCCCGGGATAAAGAAGCTGCAGTAGATGATTCGATAATTTCGCTCGTTATCAACTGGTTTGTCGCAGATGTAAGCTTTGTGTCATTTAGTACTTGAAATGTGGAACTTGTGAACATCACTGGGAATCTACCATTGAACTTGAAGCATTTTCATTCATTGCAACCAATGATCGTACATTTTATGTTATTTTGATAACTATCGATACAATGTTGGTAACCATTAATTTATCGTTTGTAACATTTGCTACATTTTAGTTATTTTTAAATTATTTGATACATTTTTATACATTTATTTTAATATATGTAAATCTAAGCTTTGATTTGTATAACTGATTATTACTGTGGGTGTATATAATGTCTTTAATGGTGTTTTATGCAACTACTCCTAATAGTGACATTTGCGGCGTTTTTAGATGAAAATGCCACTAATAATGGGCTTATTTGCGGCGTTTTTAATTACAAATGACATTAAATACACAGTCAATAGCGGCGTTTGTCACTAAATATACAATCAATAGTGGCGTTTGTAAAGAAAAACACCGCTAAATGCACAGTCAATATCGGCATTTGTAAAGAAAAACACCGCTAAATACATATTCAATAGCGGCGTTTATAAAGACAAACGCCGCTAAATACACAGTCAATATCGGTGTTTATAAAGACAAACGTTGCTAAATACACAGTCAATAGCGGCGTTTGTAAAGAAAAACGCCTCTATATGTCTCGACCTATTGCGGCGCTCGTTATAGCGGCACAACTTGCGGCATTTTTGCAAGCGCCGAGAAAGTTTTTAGCGGTACTTATAAACGCCATTGTAGGGTTAAAAAAATGCCGTTAAAACCTGTTTTGTTGTAGTGCCTCCACCAAGAGTAAATACATACCCTGTCATAGATCTTTTATTATCCAAGTCACCCGCATAGTCTGAATCCACATATCCTACAACCAAATTATTATCCCGCTGACTACAAAAAACAATTCCATGTCCCACAGTACCCTTTAAGTACCTAAAGATCCACTTGACTGCTTCCCAATGTTGCTTACTAGGTTTAGACATGTACTTACAAACTTGACTAACAACATGAGCTAAATCAGAACAAGTACATACCATTGCATACATCAAGCAACCAATAACATTAGAATACGAAACCTTTTCCATATCTTCAGCTTCCTTATCTGTCTTAGGGTACTATTCTGATGAAAGCTTAAAGTGATTCACCAATGAAGTGCTTACTGATTTTGCGCTGCTCATCGCAAACCTTTCTAGCATTTTCTCAACATAACCCCGTTGAGATAGCCACAATTTCCTTGAGTCTTTGTCCCTGCAAATTTCCATTCCAAGAATTTTCTTTGCAGCACATAAATCTTTCATATCAAATTCCTGACTCAATAAAGTTTTCAAACCGATAACACCATCCATGTTCTTCGCAACAATTAACATATCATCAACATACATTAACAGAAAAATAAAAGAACCATCATCAAGGCTCTTAACATAGACACAACAATTATACTCATATCGCTTGTAGCCAATATTGATCATATAGGAGTCAAACCGTTTGTACCATTGTCTCGGAGACTGACCCGTACAAAGATTTCTTCAATCTGCAAACTAAATGCTCAATTCCAGGTTGAGTGAAACCTTCAGGCTGTTGCATGTAGATTTGCTCTTCTAAATCACCATGCAAAAAAGCAGTTTTTACATCTATCTGCTCTAAATGCAAATCCCAACTAGCCACCAATGCAAGTACTGCTCGGATTAAAGTGTGCCCGACGACAAGAGAAAACATTTCATCATAATCAACTCCTTTCTGCTGTGAAAAACCCTTTCCTACCAAACGAGCCTTGAACTTCTCCCCTTTTTTTCTGTTACTGCTGGTTTATTCTTATACACCCATTTACAACCAATAGGCTTCTTACCCTTAGAAAGACGGACTAACTTCCATGTACGATTTTGATTCAAAGACTCCATCTCCTTAACCATGGAAGCCATCCACTTGTTGTTTTTCTAACTAGTAACAACATCATGAAAAGTAATCGGATCATCATTGCTAACAGTAAGTGCAAAATAGACCAAGTTTTCAAAACTCAATCTGTTCGGAGGCTTTATATTCGTCCATCTCACCCTGTCTCTAGCGAGACTATAATCCTGCAAATCATCCGTAGCAGAACTACCTGAAGTCGGTTGAGAAGTTTCTATTTTCTCAATTGGAAACTGCTCGAAATCCACCACTGACGTGTCTTTCTTCTGCTGCAACATGGATTGTTCATCAAAAACAACATCTCTACTGATCACAATTTTCTTCGCAAATGGATCCCAGAACTTGAATCCTTTGAAACCTTTCTTATAACCCATAAAAATGCACTCCTTCGATTTTACATCAAGTTTGGATCTCTCATCGGCAGGTACATGCACATAAGCAGGATAACCAAAAATCTGTAAGTGATCAAAAGTAACATCATGACCAGTTCATACCTCTTCTGCAACTTTCTCAGCCAATGATTCCCTTGGCGATCTATTGATAAGATAACACACCATGTTAACAGCCTCAGCCCAAAAGTGTTTGGGAAGCCCCGCATTCAACCGCAAACATCTTGCTCTTTCATTCAACGACCTGTTCATCCGTTCCGCAACACCATTCTGTTGTGGTGTCTTCCGCACTGTAAAATGCCTCTTAATCCCATGCTCCTTACAGAAGTTTAGAAATTGTGAATCTGTGTACTCCGTACCATTGTCAGACCGCAAACACTTGATTTTTCGTCCCTGTTTGGTTTTCTACCTCATCTTTCCACAACTTGAACTTCTCAAAAACATCAGACTTCTGTTTCAAAAAATACACTCAAACTTTCCGTGAAAAATCGTCAATAAAAGTAATATAATACCTAGATCCACCCAAAAAAAGATGTCGTGGAAGGCCCGCATACATCAATATGCACATAATCAAGAATCCCTTCAGTTATGTGCTTCCCAGTCTTGAAACGAACTTTAGTCTGTTTACCAAGAACACAATACTTGCAAAAATCGAGCTTACAGCTTTTAACACCATGCAACAAATTTCTTTTATGTAATTCAGCCATACCACGTTCACTAAGATGAGCAAAACACATATGCCACAGTTTGGTAGTATCATCACAGGACTCAACAGAATGAACTCCACCTACAATAGTACTCCCTAACAATCTGTAAATATTCCCTGCAGTCATCTTTCCTTTCATCACAGTCAAAGCTCCTTTAACAATCCGAATGGTTTCCCTATCCTCATCAGCCTTATGGATAAAACCATTCTTGTGCAAAGTGCCCAAAGAAATCAAATTCTTTTTCAAATCTGGGATATGTCGAACACCACACAACGTCCAAACAGAACCATCATACATCTTAATTCTGACATCATCAATACCTACAATATTGTAACATCGATCATCACCCAAGTAAACATAACCATAATCAACCGATCTGTATGTCGAAAACCATTCCCTATTTGGCGTGATGTGATAAGAACATCCAAAATCAAGAATTCAAGCATATGTTAATTGTGTCGTTGAAATAGAGAGCATATCACCCTTACTGCAATCAAAATTGTCATCCTCGATCACATTCACAGACTTGGACGAATCATCATGCTTCTCATCAATATGGTTTTTCAACTTTGGACTGTCTCGCTTCATATGTCTCGCCTACTTGCACTTGTAATAGTGAACTGTTTTCTTATCCCTGGATTTGGATTTGAAATTCCGCTTCCAAGACCCTGCCTTCTCTGGCTTCCGTCCACGATCTCGAATACCCTTGACATATAAGCTATCAGCTTGAGAGTTTTCCCTTGCATTCTGCTTCCGCTGGTTGTGAGCCAACAAAGCTACAATAATCTACTTAACTTTGATAGTCTCTTTCCCATATGTAAGAGTAGTTAGCATGTGTTCGTAAGAGGGAGGCAACGAAAACAACAAAATCATCGCTTTATCTTCATCCTCAATTTTCACATCAACCCGAGCCAAATCAGAAACGATTTGATTGAAGACATTCACGTGTTGCGCCAAATCATGATCGTCCTGCATCTTCAGCCCATACAGCTGCTGCTTTAGATACAGTTTAGTCGTTAAGGATTTGGACATAAACTGACTTTCCAACTTCTTCCAAATTTCATCTGAAGACGACATATGCATGACGTGATACATGACCTCGTCCGCCAAACATAATCGTATGGTTTCTGTCGCTCGCTGGTGCAATTCTTCCCAATCTTCCTCCTCCTCCATCGACGCCGGCTTTATAGGTCGCAAAGCCTTCAGTATCCCTTGTTGCGCCAACAAATCCTTCACCCTTGTTTGCCATAATCCGAAGTTACCCTGACCATCGAATTTCGCAACTTCGAATTTGGCTCCTGACATCTGATACCAATTGTTGAATAATCGGGTAAAGAAAACAGAAAGAACATAAGAATTTTAACGAGGTTCAACAATGTGCTTACGTCCTCGGTGCCCTAAGCGGCGCTAGAATTTTTATTCAATGTCAACTGTCTCATAGGTTTAGGTTACATATATTTTTATAATAAATAAACCCTGGTACATATTTACAAAAATAACCCTGTACCGTACCGCGGAGCTGCTCCCCCAAAAATCAAGATACAATTTTAAAACCTTAGAATTTTCTGGAGTGGAATGAAACTCAATACCCAAAAATCACATTTGACCTTCTAAAACTAAAATAAACCCTTAAAGCTTACTTGATCACCAAGTAACACACATGAATACAATTTAACATAAAAAATGTACTCAACATGAATTAAGATACTAACATACAAATCACTTAAATTATATAGTATCACTTCAGTTGAAGATCATACTAAACAATTAACATATATATTTTTCGTTTAATACATTATAGCATTTATCTAGTTTTAATCTTTAGGCGTTTCATAACATAGTTTGCCAAAACTTCACCAATCATCCAAATTGACATATTTTTACACTTAATTTGCTTTATTACAACATGGATACTCTAATGATCAATACAACATGATCAATGTTCTACTTTGATACACATTGATACATACATTAGAAATATATATATAATCTCACATGGATTCGTC